GAGAGAGAGACAGTATCAGGGACTGGCGGTGCCGGGGGTGGGGGAGGGCACCCTAGCTATGAGGTCATTATCCCCAGATATTGTGGAGGCAGGGACTGGGGAAGGCATTACTCCAGATAGTGGGTGTCCCTAAGTTATGTGGGAACACTGGGGGCATCACCCCAGCTGCGTGGGCAGGGACTGGTGGAGTGGGGGGCATCAACCTCAAGGGCCATGGTGGGGGGAATCACACACACACCCCCGATGGGGCAGAGACTGGTAGGTGGGGCATCAGCTAAGAAGGGGGGGCAGGGATTGTTCGGGGCTATCACCCCTGAGATGAGGGGGCAGCAAGATTCTCCCCCAACAACGGGGGATGGAGGAGGCTCTCCCAGCACTGCACTGCCCCCCCATTCTGTACCACCTGCCCCCTGCCCTTCCCAGGGCAGGGGGTGGCCTCTCATGGGAGTTCCCGATGGAGAAGTGGTGGAGGGGTTCCCTATTGAGGTGCAGGCTCCAGGGGGTTCCCTATTGTGGCACACTGGGTGCCCAGAGGGGGGTGGTGGTGGTCTGTCACTCCCATCCCAGGGTGGGGAGGCAGGATCTGGGGGGTTCCCTCTGGGGGCATGGGGTGGGGGGTCAGCTCTCAGCATGCAGGGTGAGCTGTCAGTCCCTTCGTGGGGCAGTGGGGAGGTGTGGGATGTGTGTGTGTGCAGGGGGGGATCTGTCAGTCTCTTCCCGGGGTGAGGGTGTGAGCAGCTCCCTCCAGCGGTGCGGGGAGGTCTGTTGGTCTCTCACTGGGGCAGGATAGGGCTCCCACTAGAGTGTGGGGGGAACCCCAGTCGAGGTCTTTCAGTCCCTCCCCAGTGTGGGGGGGGGGCAGGAGCCAGGGAGGCTCCCTTTGGGGTTCAGGGGTATCCGTGGAGATGCAGGAGTCCGTCAATCACTAAAGCTGCAACTTAGACCTATGCCTATCAGGAGTAGTTATGAACCCCCCTTTCCCTTCCAACTATAGAAGTGAAACTATGCCGATGTTTTGAATCCAGGTCTCCCTGACATCTCAGTGCTCAATCCACTGGACTACTGAATATAAGGGTTTGTGCAGGGCCCATGCTGCTAGGCTACGCTGAGTCGTTCTCTCAGAAGTCCTGTCAGCTCAGGGTCCAAAGGTGAGATAGGCAGCGGAACACCTACTTTGAGAATCCTGTCAGGGCTCAGCCGTGTCACCAGCAGAAATTTGGGAACCAAGGAGACTTTACCTAGGGGACCATAGGCATCTAGTAGGTTAAGGGGCAACTGCATGAGGATTCTGCAAATTTAAAATTTGGACTTGGATACCTACAGTGCAAGTTATGGAGCTAGCCCTTAACTTCTCCATGCTGCCACTTTCTTGCTGTGAGATATAGAGCAAGTCTTTCTGGCTCAGTTTCTCCATTTGTAAACTGGGCATTGTAGCCACCTTTGTAAAGCACTGTGGATGCAGTATCATTAGCCTTGTTTACTGAAGACAAGTGACACTGATTGCTCTGTAACAATTGTCCTGTCCAGTACTCCAAATAAAAATACCATTAGGTTATCAACCTAGTATAGGTCATACCATGCTGGTGGGTAAAGAAGTAGCAACTATATGTTATAGCTTTGCGTTCAGAAAGGGGTTGCCCTCACTCTAGCAAAAGCATTAAGAAGCTCTTGCCAAATGCTCAACTTGACTTAGACATCTTTGGGCCCCATCTTGTCCTCTTTACTCAGCCAAAACTCCTCTTTAAACTGACCAGAAGTATTGCCAGGGTAAAAAGAGGCCAAGGGAGCCCTTTAAAAAGTAGGATAGAAGGAAGCTCAAATCCACAACCATTGTGGATCTCCAGGAATTGCCCAGTTACAGCAGCAAGACCCAGCTTTCAAGAGGCAGCAACGCAACTGAGCCTCGGCTTCCCACTAGCTGACAGCAGTGATCTGATGCTATGTCCCATTTGCGTTAGAATAAGGGTTGGTTGAACTATAGTTTTTGTAAGTCCTTCACTGAATTACAAAACTAATAAGCTACAAGCCATGTGTGATGCCCATAATGGAACAGCTTAACCTGTCTTCATAAGCGGGGAGAATTCAGGCACAGCACAGCAATAGCCTTACTGGGGAAGGCACTCTCAAGTGACTGCTACATTATTAAGCGTTTTCTCTGCTTCAACACTGACCATTTTGTCCCTAAAATACCATCACTTTGAATAAATTATGAAAACAAAGAAAACATGATATTCATGTAGTGGCTTGAACTATGTTTCAGAACAGACAGCGATTTCCCAGCTTACATACCCTCTTCGTTATTAGGTCACTGCACTGAGGAACACAATTGCACTAAATGGTGGATTGCTAAAACTTCAGATTAATGGGAGTTCTTTTTGCTGAAAGCCCCTTTGGTCTATAACAGCGGTTCTCAACCAGGGGCCCGGAGCCTTCTGGTGGGGCTGCGAGCACGTTTCAGGGGGTCCTCCAAAATAAACCAGAGAGCAGGGTCACTGTTTGACTCTCGCTGAAGCCCGAGCACTGCCATGCAGGGCTGAAGCCAAAGACCAATCAACTTAGTTTTATGGGGCCCCGAGCAATTGCCCTGCTTGCTACCCACAAACACCAGCCCTGGCTTTTCATCTACTGGCTATGCAGAAAAACGGCTGTTGTGGCACAAGTGGGCTGTGGAACTTTACAGCATGTTGGGGGGTGGGAGACTCAGAAAGGAAAACGTTGAGAACCCCTGGTCAATAACACAAGAGGAGGGTGTTGCCAAAGTATTCAGAACTCGCCACCCAAGTATTTTATCTCACAAATATTTTTCCATCAAGAGAAGAGTAATTATTTGGTAATATTTTTTCTCTTTATTAATCCAGCTCTACAGATGGTCCAGTACTGTTTGTCAAATTAATCATCAGGGCTACTTTTAATATTCACTAATTCTTCTCAGTTTTCCTCTAGCAACAGTTAGCAGGAAAGAGACCAGGAGAGCAGCGAGACTTGGCTTTCAGACTTCAAGAAAGCTATTCTACTAAAAAAAAAAAAAAAAGCGACAGTGCCAAAATTATGACATCGCTTGGGACCAACAACATTCCATTGCTCTGAATTTTTAAAAAAAAAGAAAACTACAAACATCTGTAAATACTTTAAGGTGCAAGGTTAAAATCACATTCAGATCTCATCAGTCACATGTGACCCAGCACAAGTGATGGCTAAGATCCCACTAATCCACTTGTAAAACTCAGACATTACTGTTAAACCGATTGTTACTGTAGGTCTTGTTTTATAGACCTCAGCAGTACCAATGCACTTTTGCTGAGCTTATTTATGGAACTTGAAATTTATCTATACACACACAGCTAAGCAGGAGTGAATGTTGCCTAGTGTTTACAAGAGGGAACTGGAATGTTACCACCCCCAAGCATTTTAAAAGTGGAAGAAAAAAAGAGGAGATGCCCGAGGAAACATTTAAGGTAGCCAAAGGGGTAACGTGATCATATTAAGTAAAGAAAAACGGAGTCTGGTATCTAGAAAATTCTTGCTAACAGGGAGATCATTTAAATGATGGAACTATTCCAGTGGAAGGAAGGCCCAGTTCTTTAGAACTAGACTAGATATACCCTCTGGGAATAGAACAGAGGAAATAACATTGAATAGCTAGACACCGATTAGATTTCCTAATATGTCTTTTCCCCAACACTCCTGAGAATAATTCACATTCTGTCAATGATGGATCAGTCACAACATACTGGTACTCTGTCACCATCATCTCAGAAGGGAAGGGACAGGGTGTGTACACATACACACACACACTTATTGGGTAATTCAAAACAAAACTAAATCTTTTCCATTCTCTGCCATCCATAATTCTACTTGATACATGAATAAACTTTATAACCACGCAGCTTGTAAATATTACATGAAATGTGCACACAGACTGATCTGGCTCTCATAATGCATATGGAGCTTCATAGCCCTACATAGAACGTGCCCCTTTAGTCTGAGTTAGCTCCAAGAGGTTCCAATGTCAAGGAGGTGGCCATACAAGGAAAAATAGCAATTAAAAATAAATACTGAGACATGGGCCAGTGTTGCAAACTCTCTCAGATTCATTTAAGTGTCATATTTGTTGTTTTTCCTAAAACTCCAGTTCCTAACTTACGTTAATCAAATGAAAAGTGGGTTTCTAGCTGTCATGATTGTAGAGGAAAGCTTGAAAATATGAACCCGAAATGCTCAGAACACAGAAAGAAAGAAAAACCACCTCAACATTTTTATCTTTTACAATTTCATGATTTCTAAGCCTCTCATGACATTTTTAGAGGCCTGGCATGATTTTTGGGTGCTCGAGGTTGGCCATACGTCATATACCCAGCCGAGTAGGTTACATCTGGATTTGCACTCATGGCCAACTAAGGTAAATGATAACGGCTTCGCAGATGTTTTTGCACATAGTTTAGCTAGGATGGCAATGGTCTATTCTCCATTTTTGCGTCCTGGTTTGTTTCTTTTGCAGCAGTTTGCAACGTGTTCCATGACGAAGTGCTTCTTCAGAGAGTCATGGTAGGGTGCCAGTGGTCTAAATGAAAGGGAAGAGATCTCCATGAAACCAGGGCTCCTCTCAATGCCTGTGTTGTTGGGTAGGCCCTTCCTACTGTTTTATTTGGGCCTTATGCCATAATCTTTACACAGACAAAACTCCTACTGATTTTACCAGTGCTATGGCTGAGGGATCAGGTCTCTTCTAAAATCGTGTTTGCACATAATGATGGGTTTGAAAATCACAAAATTCCCAATCTGATTATAGCTGTTGTGAGTAAAGTGTGTGCACAGAAACAGAGAACCAATTTTCATGTGCTTAAACTTGTACATTTTGCCATGGCTGGATAAACCTCCTGCTGGTGCTGACTGCAGGACTGGGGTTTCAACTAACCGAAGCAAACAGAAGCCACATTTGTGGGGGTTTTTTGGTTTGTTTTTTTGTTTTAAAAAGACACAATCAAGAAGCGGCACATTGATTCCCGGGCCCAAAAATATTTATTATACATTTTGAAAAAAACAAAATTAATAAGCTCTAAAAAAGGCACATGTAAAATGATATTTACAAAATTTAACAGACTAGCAAATACAAGACAAACATATGAAGCACACTATTCTTCCCTTCCATGCCTATATATAGCGGATGTATATTTACTGTGTTGTGCAGTCAACTGCAATACCTAGCTCTACAAAAATGCTAGATTCCGCCAACAGAGTTATTTACTAGTTCAAGAAGTGCCCTTCGTTTTGAATTACTGTCAGAAGACCAGTATCGACAGCACTAGAATGAAAGCGTGAATGGATGGGTTACCGGAGGCAAAGTAAAAAGAGATAAATGCTTTTCATTATAAATCAAGCTTGGGCCCCCATCCTTGTACCACGTTTTTGTGGCTGCACTGGCCCAGTAAATATAAATTTCAAGTATGTTTCAAATACTCCAGTACAAGGCTTGTAGCTCTTGGGTAAATTAGCTGGAAGGAAGGATTACACAGCCTTCTAGTGCTATATTTGCTGGTGCTATATCATAACACTGGCTCACATCCAGGACACATCCTGCATCAGGTATGCTGGATATGTGAACAAAATTAGACTAAGGGATTGCATGCTTGCCCAAGAACTATTCTTATTCTGGATAGAAATATCAACACACACATTAGAAAACGATGATCGTCCATGCTTTGAAACACAGATCCATAGCCACGCTAATTGATGTTATTCGTGACACAGATTTGAGAAGCCTTTTTTATTTTGCCAGTTAGCTTCAATTTTTAAAATATGACAGGAAGCTCAAACACTGTGTTGTCTGATCCCATCTGGAACTTATCTTCATTTACATAAGACTATATCAGATTTAAATTAAATCCCAACTTTCAAAAAATATATAGAGATATGTGTAAAGCTAAACTCATCCTTTGGTTAATACAAATCTTTATTTCAAATTGTATTTTAATATTTCTCATGAGCCTGCACAGGACACAGCCAGCCAAGAGTATATATGAAGATTTATGAAGTTCATGTGTGGAGAGGGACCTGAAGAGGGGAAGAATTGCAAGCCCTGGGTGCCACTTAAATGCCCTCCTCACCCAGCCGTTGGAGGAAACATCATTGCAATCTTTAAGCACAAGTGGGAACCCAGAGGAACTCCAGATGATGACATACATAGTCACAACTTCTATTAGCCCCGCCTCCTGATTTAACAGTAGCACCCACTGGTTTAAAAAACAAACAAACTCAAACCATCAAATGTGATACCACAGCAAGAAGTGATTACTATTGGACAATATCGAACACTAACAGAGAAGGATTATTTTATAACATTAATACACTTCTGTCCCACAAACTTTTTCTGGAGCTTGTGGTGTTTTCACTCAACCTGTCCAGCTTCTACCAAGAAGGTCCAACCCAAGCGAAACATCTGATCTTTAGGAATACAAACTAACTGGCTTGCAGTCATCAACTGCATATTTTTTCCATGTGTGTCCCCTTCATGAATTTTTGAATCTGACAAGATATACAGGTATTATATAACAATAGTATGAGCATAGTTTTTGGTGGTACAACAGAATGATTTCCCCCCATCACCACCCCGTTTTGAGTCTTTGGCCTGCTGTCAATGTGCAGAATGCCAGTAGAATTTAATCATAAAAGAAAACTAGAATTAAAATAGGGCAGAGCAAGTGGGAAAAGAAAGTCTGTGCATTTAAAACTCATGTGGCATAGAGCCCGTGACAAAGAAATGGACATTTTTGGCTTTGATCTAATATATTTTCCAGTTTAGTTTCTATGGGTATGTCTACACTGCAATAAAAAACTTGCGGCTGGCCTGTGTCAGTTGATTTGGGCTTGTGGGGTTCTGGCTAAAGGGCTTAACTGCAGAGCAGGCATTCAGGCTTGGGCTGTGGCCTGGGCTCTAGGACTCTGCAAGGTGGGAGCGTCTCAGAGCTAGGGCTGCAGCACGAGCATTTACACTGCAATTAAACAGCCGCTTACCCCAAATCCCCTGAGCCCAAGTCAGCTAGCATGGGCCAGCGAGGGGTGTCTAACTGCAGTGTAGACATACTCCAAATCATAGAACCTAGTTTAGTGTCCGATATTGTGTCTTTTTTCTTGGCACCCCTCTTGGATGGTTGCTGGAGAGAGCTCATCAGGATATCTGATCACCTTTGCAATTTGCAAATATTTAGTTTTGAACAACAGAGTCTAGTCTCTGTGATACAACTGCATTTGCTCCAACCCCTCAGACAGAGACAAACACCTACAAGATCTCTATCAAGCGTTCTTACAACTACAATACCCACCTGCGGAAGTGAAGAAACAGATTGATAGAGCCAGAAGAGTTCCCAGAAGTCACCTACTACAGGACAGGCCTAACAAAGAAAATAACAGAATGCCACTAGCCGTCACCTTCAGCCCCCAACTAAAACCCCTCCAACGCATTATTAAGGATCTACAACCTATCCTGAAGGATGACCCAACACTCTCACAAATCCTGGGAGACAGGCCAGTCCTTGCCTACAGACAGCCCCCCAACCTAAAGCAAATACTCACCAGCAACCACATACCACACAACAGAACCACTAACCCAGGAACCTACCCTTGCAACAAAGCCCGTTGCCAACTGTGCCCACATATCTATTCAGAGGACACCATCACAGGGCCTAATAACATCAGCCACACTATCAGAGGCTTGTTCACCTGCACATCCACCAATGTAATATATGCCATCATGTGCCAGCAATGCCCCTCTGCCATGTACATTGGTCAAACTGGACAGTCTCTACGTAAAAGAATAAATGGACACAAATCAGATGTCAAGAACTATAACATTCATAAACCAGTCGGAGAACACTTCAATCTCTCTGGTCACGCGATTACAGACATGAAAGTTGCAATTCTTCAACAAAAAAACTTTAAATCCAGACTCCAGCGAGAGACTGTTGAATTGGAATTCATTTGCAAATTGGATACAATTAACTTAGGCTTGAATAGAGACTGGGAGTGGCTAAGTCATTATGCAAGGTAATCTATTTCCCCTTGTTTTTTCTAACACCCCCCCCCCCCGACGTTCTTGTTAAACCCTGGATTTGTGCTGGAAATGGCCCACCTTGATTATCATACACATTGTAAGGAGAGTGGTCACTTTAGACAAGCTATTACCAGCAGGAGAGTGGGTTTGTGGGGGGGGGGGGGGTGAGAAAACCTGGATTTGTGCTGGAAACGGCCCAACTTGACTATCATACACATTGTAAGGAGAGTGATCACTTTAGATAAGCTATTGCCAGCAGGAGAGTGGGTGGGGGGAGGTATTTTTTCATGCTGTGTGTATAAAAGATCTTCTACACTTTCCACAGTATGCATCCGATGAAGTGAGTTGTAGCTCACGAAAGCTTATGCTCAAATAAATTGATTAGTCTCTAAGGTGCCACAAGTACTCCTTTTCTTTTTGCGAATACAGACTAACATGGCTGTTACTCTGAAAAGAGTCTAGGGCAACATTCTCAGCTAATGTGATAGAAAGGAGGAGGGACTGTGATGAACAAAGTTACCAGCAAGAAGCAATTTCAGTGCAAAGGCCTGGACAGTAGAATTGTGTCCAAGCTACATGGTATTATTTCTTTGTAATATCGTAATGCCTAGGTGCCCCAGTCACGGCCCAGGATCCCACTATACAAATAAAGTTCAGATCTGAATTTGAAATACCTTGAAACTCAGATAGGCATTTGGCCTTGGAGTTTAGGTTAGGCTCATGTTAAGAACTTCCTAAAGTCTAGGGCGTATAGACTCACAATTTTGGATCAGGCCCATCTCTAACAGAGAGCAAACCTTTGCTAAAAAAAAGTTGTTTCCGCTTTGTGTGAAGCAAGCAAACATAGGTCATGCGCAAATGCCTACATACTACAAAGAGAAACATACTGAGATTCATGTTCCCAACACTGGCTAATTCTGAGAAGAAATGGTCACCCACAAAGTATCACTGATGAGACCAAACTAGTAACAGAGAATGCAACCAAATTCTGATCCTCTGAAATGCTTGTGAGGCTTGAGGTAAATGGACATAACTGAGGTGGCTAGAACCTGGTACTTCACTGGGGACTTGATCCTGCCATAGGCTGAGCACTCTAGCCTGATCCAGCAAAGCCGATAAGCACATGCTTAACTTTAAGCACATGAGCAGATCCATTGAAATTGTGTAGTTGATTTGCAACAAGCTTAAACCCCTGGCATCCCCTTCACATTGATGTTAAATGAAAATATATCACTGCACTGGCTTTTACTCTTTGAAACAGGTTGGAGCCAGCCCACACACCAGCTGATTCCACTCATCTGCATTCTACCCTGAATCTCTTATCTTTCCTCTGGATCTAAGAGACAATTTAATTGGAGGGGATGTGGAGATCAGTGTGGCTGCTCCGATCGGAAACGCCAATCACAGGAAAGCTATTTTATGGAAACCCAGTGGACCTTAAGCAGAGAACAAATGTCCATCCTTTGCCTTTTCCTAGGAAGGGAAATATAATTAGAGCTCAGCAGCAGAGTCACAGGATGGGATTTTTTCCCCTATAGTGCATCAGTGAGTTTTAGAGCACAGGGGCTATTTTCAAGCCACTTTTGTCTGTGGTTTAGAAGTGAGCATAAGCTTCATTAGTTGAAGGGAGGATTTATAATAGGTAGTCACTAGGTCCTATTTTCTGAGCAATCAAACAGTTGTGCTAAATTACAAGCTGCTTGCTCCCTCTTGGCTTTCAAATAATCAGTTCATAGCCCATGGAGTAAAATAAAAAGGATGATTTTTTTTAAAGGGGGGTTTCTATTCCTTAAATGATGAAATAAGATTCTAATTGGCACAAACCTACAAGCTATAATTGCTCTGAGTTTTTTGGTTCAGTACAGTAATTCAAGTGCCATGTACTTTCTAATCATAACTTGGCCCTTTAGGAATGGGTTTGCTTTTTGCATATGAGAATGTGACTTTCCCCACTTTCGCAGCAAGCAGTTGGTTTAAATCGATACTCCATTGAACTGGGTGAGATTCAGCTCTACCGTGAGGGGAAATTGCCCTGAAAAATATTTTTAAAAAGAGTGAGATTTCCTATCAGGACAGTGGTTCTGGACTGCATCACTGCACCCTGTACACACAGCGTCTCGACATCTTCAAACAGCAGAAAAAACAGTGATCGTTAATTATCTTCCTGTTGCCACCTGGTGCACTGAGGTCCTTCCAACTGTGCCTCATTTTCCTTATTTCTCCTTTATTTTCAGTTATCAAGCAGCATTTAAAGAGAGGCAGGCTAGCCGCTCAGACATTGGAATGGTTAATTTATTATCCTTGGAGCCCCACTCCCTCTGGCTGGTTGAATCTCTCTAAATCCTTGCCCTGCTCTGCAGAGAATCTGAGTGCCTCCAAAGCAGAGGACACATCATCTCCAGACTATTCCTATGTACTGTATAGTTCTTGACGGTGCTGAGCTCTCCTTCTCTTCGAAAGAAATGAAAAAACAAAAACCCACTCCCTTTGCTGTAGGTCAAAAATCAATGAAACTAAACCAGACACATCTGCAATCCAAACCCAATGTGCTGACCAGACTTTGCAAGTTGTTATTCTACAGTGACAAGTGAACCACAAGTCTACTCCTGCCTGAGGGGACCCTCTTCCCACACTGCAATGTGAACCCCTTGGCACAGTGATTTGCAGAGAGATCACATTCCAACAAAGTGACTCCACAGCACCGTCCAATTAACACAGTAATAATACATGGATTACGCAAATCCGCATAATCTGAGCCTCCACGCTTGTCTAGGGGAAAAAACAGATGGCTCGGGCATTGCTGTTCTCATCGTTTAACGCTGCACCCTTCAGGACCTGATCAATAAAGGATTTGAGGGATTCAGCTGGTCTGGAAAGGTCACAGCCTTAGGTTGCTTGGTGGTGGTTGGGGTTTATTTTGTTTTTGTCTGAGTAATTAACAGTGCAAATCAAATCAGACTGCCATGCTGGCACAAGTGCAGCAGGGGTTGCATTACTCTGATTTTATAAAGTCCCCCCCAGTAAGACCCATATTCCCTTTATCAGACTTGTGTAAATATGACTAGGAACAGGTACGATAACAACAGCACAACATACCTAGTAGTGACTGTGGGTCCTAAGAGGCGACTGAACTAACACAACTCATGCTTCCAAGGCCATATGTGAGAAGAACATTAACAGCACCAGCTGTCCAACTATTTCTAACACCGGTCTCCCCTCCTCCTACCCCCATTGTGACTTTTCCCTTCAGAAATGGTAAGATTTCAGTTCAGATGTCCTACAATTTATAATTCCTGTCCCAAGGGGATTAAAGATTCAGGTGTTTGGCTATGTGTGTTTCTCTCTCTCTCTCTATGTGTGAACACATTACTCTGTGTGTGATGTGCCGTGTGTGCACAACTGTACTCCTCCACTACAAGTATTTACATAATTTACTGCATTTTTAAAACATTTGGCAAGTGATTTTGAAAAAAAAAAGGGTGGGGGGGAGAGAATCTTCGTAAAGTTGGACAAACCAAATACGTACCATGTCGAGAGCATGTTGCCAAACACTGTGACTCATTAGAAATGACCTGACAAATTCCCATGCAGGCGTCCTGAGATGGGACAATAAATTATTCAGCCCCAATGCTGTACATGCAGCATTCTCCATACAGCATCACCTAGCATGTCATATAGAAGTGGAGTGGTAAAGGGCTAAAGTTTGCAAAGTTGGGTGCATCTCCCCAGGTGGCCTGATTTTTCAGAGATTAAGCCCCCACAACTTCCACTTAAATCAATGCAGTTGAAAATCAGGCCATTTATTTTCAAACCCAAATATAAGTTTAGGTGACTAAAGTTAGACACTCAGGTTTGGAAAAGTTGGCCATTAGCTGCAAACAGCTATTAAAAACCTCCAAAGAATAAAACATCAGCATCTTATACCTTGATTCTCTCTGGAACAGGTAGCAAAAATGGTTCAGCCCTGTCTACGCTAGCAGGCTAAACACATTTAACTCATTATGAGCAAACCATATTTGCCACTTGTTGTCAACAGGTCAGGTGCAGACAACACACAAAGCTGCAATTGTGTTAGCAGTGGTTGACTAAAAAGCAATGAAGTTGTAGGTCACTTGGTAACTTGCTCCCTCTTCCTGGTCTTAATTATATTTTTGGCCATGTTAAGAAACCATTTTACAAAAGACTTTGTAACCTGCTGCCCTGATTGTGAAGTTTAAAAAGTTCAGTGAACACCCTCTTATTTTGCATTTTCACATTCTCTTTTTCATTTCCACTTCCATCTCATGCCAGGAGCAGAAGTGGAAATATTAGACTGCGGCGAAGTCAACGTCTATGTCATGTCCTGATGGGACGCAGTGAGTACTAGAAGTCTCATGACAATGTCTCTTCTTGTGAGATTCCACCCTCACAACATTCACATAATGTTTGGGGGCTTATCTGAACTGAACTGTTTGATATTTGTCCTTCTCTAACCATCCAGCTGCAGTTTGCACTGCAGCGTTGATAGCATCTCTCCCCTAGCTGGTTCCCAAGCAGAGAAAACATCAACAGTTAGCATTAGTGTCACAGTGTTGTACTTGTGTGCTGAGAAGATTTTGTGAAATGAGAATGCATGAGCATCACAATGCTGAGCAAACTTCTTGTCTGTGGAAAAAAGATCAAGCAGCTAGTTGCTCTTGGGTAAAGAACACTTCCTTGTTCTAAGCAGAAACACAGGTTAGTCTCCATATGTCTGTCTTCTAGTTGCATTCACTGCCTTTCAGCTGTGCACAATGAATTAAAGTTGTCCTGGTCAGAGAATTCTTCTATACTGTACATTTTATAATCAAAGTGCAATTCCAGCTGAGAATGATTTACTATGCATGATCACACAAAAGGCCTTGGAATTGGGAGTCTTGTATTACTTCAATCACCAACCACAATTACATCCATATACTGTGATAAGGAACAGAAACCACGATTGATTCCTTGATTCCTGGGGGTTGATTCTTCCTGATCTGGGATTGATACAGGGTAGCACATACCATCTACTGGGAGAAATGAGTGGTTAGCAGTAACACCTCTTGACTAAGGAGTGCAAAGGAAATCCCATCAAGTTTTCCCTGAACACAGAGAAAGGGGTCTTGAACTGAGGGATTTAAACACATGGAGATGGAAGGCTCTTGAAGACTGAAAAGCATACAAAATCCCCATCAGGGGAAAGATAGGATGGGGCTACAAGGTCACTTTTCTCAGAGAACTTTGGTACAGGGCAGTTGAGCCTTTATGCCTCCCCATCATGGCTTCATTTCTGCAGTTAGTCAGATTGTCAACAGTTTTTCAAACTGGAGGTTGTACTGGGCTACTTGGGGTTTACAGAGCCCTGTACCTCTGATTGGCTGTCCATGACTCACAGACTCCAGGGTCTGCTTTGGAGGGGCTCAGAGTCTGCTTTGGAGTCAATAGCTCCAAATACAAGTTGGGAGCAAGTGACATTCATCACAAACTCTGCATTTTCCCATGGCAAGAGGAGTACAATCAGTTTCCAGATTTCCAAGCAAAGGAATTTTAACAGCTGCCGTATGGCACTGGTATCCCAATGGGAACTTTTCCTAGAGATCTTCACATGAACAGAGAATCAGTCACTGTCCTACAATATAATAAGAGGCAATGCTTGAGTGGAGTTGCTGAATCGCTGCAACACAGGGATGAGCTGGGGAAGAGAGGATAGTAGATAGATGGTAAAGTACGGTAATATCTTAGAGCACAATAAAGTATTCGAGATGTAAACTGGACTTCTTTAGACACTCCAATTAGCTGCATTTTATTTCTTTTAACCTTCTGTGTCATTCTTTTTATTTCTCACCATTTTCTTCTTGCTTGAGTAAAACAATTATAAAGTCTTCATTTTTAATTGATCCCTTGTGGCAAAGTCCTATAGATTTTAATAGAGAATTAATGGAGAATGATAACCTTTAAGCTGACCAACAGAAGTCTATTGAAGGGATCTCGTTCTCTATTAAACAGTGCAGGTTGTAAAAGTAATTTCTATGAAACCCTTTTGGTTTCATCCTTACTAAATTCTACAAGACTTTTACGTGTGGGAGGTGAAGTTCTGGGAAGAAAACTGCCAGAGCGTAAGCCCGGACCGACCCTGATCACATAAAAACTAAGGTTTTTAGAAGTGACAATCTAACACAGTGACTGTAAAGCAGGCACTGTGTCTGATACAAGTACAGTAGCTACTACTTAGCCTGCTCTTGGCTTGAGATAGAGCTTTGAATGCTGTCACCTGTAATCTCCCTGTTAAACATGAGGTTGCCATCGGCTGCACTGCAGAATGCAATGGGACAGTTTTGGCTTGCAGGCAACCTGTGACCTAGAAAGAAAGGACAAAAAAAGATCGTAGAAAAGGAAATCTTACCATACCTATGCTACTAGGTTTGTGTGGATGGGGAGCATGCTGAGAAAATAGTAAATTAAGGATCACTGCAGAAGCACACTGGAGTACGTTTTTGATATGATTGGCTATCACACAACAACTGCAATGTTTGTGGTCAGCTTAACACAGAGATGCTCAGGCCCTGATGTGACTGTCACCACTAATGTCTTCTGAATTTAAAATCCGACCATCCCAGAGTGGTGACAGGTGACAGCGTGGTAGGTACTGATTAGTGTAACTGTGCAGCACACAATAGAGCTGGCTACCTTTAAAAGACAGCATCTTTTACAGAATAGCTTCTTTTCTGGCAAAAATGAAAAGGTTGCTTCACGTGCAAGCTTCTAGTCCATCCTCTCCCTATGAAAGGAGCTTAGCAGCCTCCAAGCAGAACAGATAATTAATTCAAAATCATATTGCCACTTTACATGGCTTGTCACCCAAACCTACCAAAGAATGGAACATAATGAGCTTGCTAAAGGGGATTACTCTAGAGCCACATACTGAGTGAATCTTTCAGAACTTCTGTACCAGGTTGTAAAGGTTAAAATAAAAGTTACACCCAAAGAACATACAGTTTTACAATTACTGCATCCTACAATACTAAAACACTGAATCTGATGTTTAAATCAGCAATTTTTATGGGATATTTTCCATGGAGGTGCCATTTATAAGGACTTTATTAATATTTATTACTTTATACAGCACTTACTATAGGCTTGAAAATAATCTTCATTCATGTATTTAACATGCACCCACATTGATTTTAACACTCTCCATATCTCATTAAATGCTTTTAAACAGCTTTGCATAAGATCTGTTAAACACTGATAACTACAACATTATGGGGCATTCTTCTTAAGGTATTAAAGAATGTAGCTGTATATTGTAAATAGTTGGAATAAATATTAATAAAGTGTTTCAAAATGGCATTTTTATACAGAGCATTTTAGTTTCTCTTGATATCTCCCTCCCCCCTTTAATGGCTCAGCTACAGTAAGCTAGTGAAGGAAAACTGCTGTGATTAGTTATAGCGGCTAACAAGGCTATTTAGGCCTTAAAACTCAGGCAAAGCTCCCACTGAGGAGGGAATATTATGTCTGACTAAAAAGAGTTGAATAGGAATCTCTGATACCTAAATATTTAGGCACAGATTCTGAAACCCTTACTCAGATTGAGTAGTGCCTTCCTCCAAAAATAGGACCAATAACTTTAATTGAGCTTCACACAGCTTGAGGTCTTACCGAATCTGGGCTTTACAGGAGTTAGGGATTAACTCTCTTACAGCCTGATCCAAAGCCCATTGAAATCAATGAAAAGACACCAACTGACTTTTATAGATCCAAAGACCAGGCCTCTAGCCTGACCCGTTTAGTTTAAACCAAGGTGATTTTAAGGTCTTCATTCCCAGGACTCTATTAAATACTTTATTTGTGCTATATTGGATGCTAAAGGTGAAATCCTGGCTGCAACTGACTTCAAAGGGGGCAAGATTTCACCCTAACACTTGTTACTGATGTTTTGTTTCAACAGATATTATGGCATTATGTATTTTTTGCCAAAATGCTAACACAAGTTTAAAATTAATAAATAAAGGATAGAATACATATAGCAGCAACTTTGAAAGTCGCTGCTTTCTGATTCTTTTGAATAACAGCTTTAACGTCTTTGTCATAGTAGTGCGGGTTAAATATCGTTCCCCCCTCCCCTTTTTTAATTTAAAATTTTGAAATTTGACAAAAACAATCCAGCTTTATAGTTGCTCCAAAAGGGGGAGAAATTCACAACTTTTTCAGAAAAAAAAATTCTGATTTTTTTAACCTTTAAATTTAACAAAGGCAACTTCCAACTTGATGCTTTAATTAACCTTAAGACATTTTGTAAAAACTTCAGCAATGTACTTTTGTTTGCAATGAAGGACAGGGTAACATTATTAGGAGCCTGGAACTCGGGCTCCTAAGTGCCCAAGTTACTTTTGAAAATAAGGCGTAGCCTACACTAAAGAGGTTTGCAGATAAAGCTACACTGATGAAACACTCCTAGTACACATGCAGCTTATATCAGTGTTTTTATTGGTATAGCTTATACCAGTCCTGCAAGTGAAATAAGCTATACCGGCAAAAGCACTTTTATACTGGTATAACTGCGTCTACATTGAGGCATTTGCTGGCATTGCTATGTTGCAAAATTTACACCCCTAACAGACATCAATATGCAGGCAAAAGACTTTGGTGTGGACCTGGCCATAGTCTCACTGAAAGGCACTAGGTGCCCAAGTAAAAAGAGAACTGAGGCTATGTCTACACTTGCAGAGTTTTTTGCTGACAGTTTTGTCAGCGATAGAAAAGCGCTAAAAGCAAAGTGCCGGTTTGTGTTCACATTGTTTTCCACAGGCGTCAGAGCGTGTTTCTATATGCAGCACTTGCATTGCAGATGAGAAGAGCGCACTGTGGTAGCTATCCCACTATGCACTGCTCCGGGACTCAAAGCAAATCGTGTGTGTGTATGTGTCTGTGTGTTCCCGCTCTACATTGTGACAATTAGGTAAAAGCAATCAAGAGTCTTCACTGGCACATCAGCGCAAAAGCATCAGCACAAAAAGACTCTTGTTGGGGTGGTTTTATTTTTGCGCTGAAACTCAGCAGTTTCAGCACAAAATCTGGATTTCCAGTGAAGACTCTAGCGTGGTTTTTGCACAAAAACCTGACTTTTTGCACTAAAACTCGCAAGCGTAGAATAGCCTTAGGCTACTACGTCACTTAAATGGTTTTGAAAATGTTACGTATAACAAATTACGCTTTATATTGCGGTGCAGTTTTCCTTTAAAAGCTAAAACAAAAAAAGGTTCCAGATATGAGCCTCATTCTTGAACTGGTTCTGTGTGGGCAAACCCCTTCACCTGTACAGATCCCCACTGATTCCAAGGGGCATCAGATGGATGCAGGGACAGATATGATTGGAGGACTGGGGTCATGGTATTGGAACCACAGATACACTCAAACAATCATATCAGGCCAACAAGTTAGGCTTCCTCTCCTTTCCATTGGGACCTCTGCAAACATATCAAAATAGGCAATGCACCTATGAAATTAACATGACAATCCTGATTGATATTATAGGCATTCTGTAGGGGGTGAAGAAGATTTCATCTAAATAGCACAGATATCAAAGTGATCACTGATACTACCCGTATCAAGCAGTAAAAAGCCAATGGGTCTGTTTGGTAGCTGTTGAATCCATTTGAGCAAGGAGAAGTATATTTTTTAAAACGGTTGCCAAAGGTTCCAGCTGCATGACTCCCATGCACTTAAATGAGGCTTCTGGGCAGAGTCATTAAAAAGAACTGATTACAAGAGCTACACACACAGAACCAGCTTACTTTTTAAAGTAACTCATCATGGAAACAAATTACTTTCAGGCAGGTTGTCTTGAGAAGCAAATGGGTTCCTTTTTGTGTTTTAAAGCTTTCAAATTTTTTCAGTTGAATTTAATGTTGGTGAAATATGCCAGCCTAGCTAATGGTGTTGGGCAGAGACCAAAGAAGCAGAAGCCCCATCTCTCCAGGTGAGGGAGGGGCCACAGAACCCAGACATCATCTGCGTAGAGGGGACAAAATTGAACAAACATGCCTGACAGTCATGGAGGATGAAACACTCTGTCTACCCACAGAACAGGTTCAGCATAGATAACAGTAGTGTACGTTATACCATCCTGCTTGCAGTGGGGAGTGTCCTTCACCTCTGAGTTGAGCAATTAGTTCACTCTCCCTTGCCCATTCAAAATCTTTGGTTTTAATTTGTGGATGTCAACACAAAGGCCAATGAGGACTCATCGTAGTGGTGAATATTGCAACACAGACACCTGTCCACTGGGATATGCATGAAGACCAACCAAACAATTTCATACAGGATACCAAACAGAAATCAGCTGGTAATTTTTTTTAGCTGCTAACATGCAAGGGTGGATTTAAATCAGCAACATATTGGTGAAAAAACCTCTCCTCTATCCCATTATGAATCCCCTCCCCACCCCCAGGCCATTTATCCTTTTAATTTGATTACTTTTCAAACCAGAAAATACTACAGGATGGGGTTAGTTATAGTCAGTTACTTTTCCTGACAATCTAACCAGTCCTGTCCAAAGAGGGTATGATCTTATCTATCAATTTATTCACAAGCAGTCACACTGTGTAGCTCACAAGTATGACACTAAAGTAACCCAGAATTGTATCAACAGCTTCTAAAAGTCAATCAGTGAATAGTAAGAGAGAGCTTTAGCTAAGTAACCCTTGTACCTGGCTTCTTTTTTTTTTTTTAATTTGGATATGCTGGAAATCTGTCCCTTCCTCCTCTGTACAGGCCTGTCAATCACTTGTTTTTCATTCTTAACATTCCATTATCTTCCTTCAACAATTTCTAGCCTTTTAATTATTTTTTTGATGAAGGAAAGGCAAGCAAACTGCCACGAAGCTAAGATATACTTTCTCCCATCTCTGTCACATATAGATGTAAGCAAACAAAGCCCTTAGTTTGGTTCCACTTTGCGGTTCTTCCGCTCCCCCCCCCCCCCCCGGCTCTCCTGCTGGTAATAGCTCACCTTTCCTGGTCACTCTTGTTCCAGTCTGTATGGTAACACCCATTGTTTCATGTTCTCTGTGTATATAAAATCTCCCCACTATATTTTCCACTGAATGCATCCGATGAAGTGAGCTGTAGCTCACGAAAGCTTATGATCTAATAAATTTGTTAGTCTCTAAGGTATCACAAGTCCTCCTTTTCTTTTTATGGATACAGACTAACACGGCTGCTACTCTGAAACCCACAAAGGTGTGTGTGTGTGCGCATTATCTCTCTCTCCCACACACATACGTGCCTATCTTTTATGTATAGTATATATTAGATTGTCTCCTTCCAACACCAAAGTCTAGGAAGTTTAATTAATGTAAATGAAATTAAAAAGTGAACAAAAACTCAATCCAGCTGGCTGGCAGAGTCGGTGACAAAATGAAGGAAAAGGTCAACATGCTTAAAGGTTAGGTTGTGTGCCTGTGTGCTTTTCCCTGTAAATTGGTTTCAAATATCCATGGAACATGAAGCTCATAACACCTCCGCTACAAATATCAAACAGAACTTTCCCTCATAATATTTCAAATTATCCTATTTACATATGATTTTTTCCAAAAATAAAAAGTGAAACATACAGCAATTCAAGCACTCATGTTCTTAAAAAAAATAATTAAAAAAGAAAATAAATCCCATCTCGGCGTGATAACGTGATGGATAGACAAATAATTCTTCCTGCCAAGATGCCAGCTTTTCTCATTATTTTCTATTATAAAATGTTGTAGCACTTGACAAAATATCAGGAAAATTTGACTTTTCTTTTTTTTTTTTTAATATAATCTGAGCTGTGCTAAGGACTATGCAAAAAAAAACTTTCTTGAGAACAATACAAGACTGGAGTGACTCTATCCCAAACCAGGTACTCAACAGAGGAGGCTTCAAGACTTTCCAAGGGAAGAGCGGAGGGGTGAAATAAAAACCATTGGAAGGACTAACTGTTTGTTTTCCTTAGAATTTCAATTGGCTACATGAATAATAAATGCTTATATAGCTACAGAAGATTTACTTTGTATAATCAGTACTGCATGGACTTTGCATCACCAGACTATATGCTAGGCTGTAAGCAAAGACGCCATCTATAAAAGCAACTGCAGTGAATGGCAAATTTAACCAAAATTAACGGAAGAGTGGCCCGGTCATTCAATAAGCATGGATTCCTCGCTCTACAATGTGCACTGGTAAGTGATGATACGAATCAGCAAGTCACACAAAACAAGTGGTATTTATCATGAGCTGCATCTTGCCTTCCAGGAAGGAAATGCCGGCTGCACAGATCACAGACGTTTACCCAGCATAAATCTAAATCTAAAAAAAAAAAGTTATGAAAGGTTTGGTCCAAAATATTCTCTCCTCCATTGTGCTGATGCTCATCAGAGCGCTGAAAATTCACAGCTGATCCTGCGCTCACCCCACAGAGATCATTCAACTTCTTTTGTTTTTGCTTTCACCATCAGAAAACAATGGCATTTTAAAAAATATAAAATACTAAGTAAGTAGGGCTATCATCAGCACCAGGGTATGGGAATAATCAGTTGTGTTGCGTTTGTCGAGACTGGACTGAATCCTGTCAAGGATGGCTCAGGGCTGTGCAAACTGCTGCTGCAGAAATGGTTAGTGGTTTGATGTACGTAAACAGTACCTTAATCTCTCCCCTTCTCACAGCTATATGAGAGAGAGACTGCTTTGCTGTTAGCCAATAAGAGATCAATTATGGCTGATTCAACAAGGAGGGGAGAATTTGTGAGCAAGAAATGGCAACAGCCTCCTCGCTCCCATGTAATCTCCTCCCCACAATGTGAAATGGTGGCTTAAGGTCCAAACTACATACCCTGGATTTGTACAAATAGTACTCAGATAAGCAGTTCCACTGAAGTCTAGGTTGATGTCAGTGGGGCTACTCATTCAAATCAAGGGTTTGCAGAATAGGGCCGTGAAAGGGGTATTAACATTCCTTTTTAAGCTCCTGCACTTCGCAGTTTCTCCTTTCATTGATACAATGGCTCAACGAAAGGAACAAAGTTGAGTACGTGGGAGCAGTGGCTGTAGGAATCACACACCTTTACTAGAAGTTGGAAGAGTTGAATGACCTCCTCGGAGCCTCTGACCGCCCCTTCTGCAGTATATTTGCACACACCACAATAGATCACCGAAGAAGACATATACATTATCATTCATATAAACATTAATTTCAATAGGAATCGGAAAGTCCTTCACCCTGCATTTCACGGTGGCAAAGAGCAAATGATCTACAACACTCTAATCAGCAGTTGTCATGGATACCATGTAAAGCTCAGCAGTGTTGCTTCTGTGCCCAAAGTTATAGGAACTCCACGTAGTTTTCAGGGATTAGTCCTGTCTTCCCATTCAGGGTTCCTTCCAACCAACCAGGCTCCTGAGATGGATGAACTGAGGAGAAACAGAAGGATATTAATATCAACCTAACAAGGGACATTTTCTAGTGGAAAGGAAAGAAGAACATTTTCAGCCACAACCAACTGCACTCATTTATGGCAAGTTTTGAATTTTCCTATACAGCAGCAAAGAGAAAGTAGCCTCCCTTCTCCTTGTTGTGGTTGGAAGCTCTCTGGGATAATGGTGACAATGAGCTATTCTCCTGCACTTGCATTAGAGATCAGTGCTGGAATCACTACACCTCTTCGCCACACAGGAGAAATGCAATTTCTGCTGCAACTGGGGCCACCAACTTCAGATGCATTATCCCAGGGATTCACTTGTATCCTATTTTCAAAGTCTCTTATTCATTTTCCTCTGTCTCCAGAGCCTGGGGTGTAAAGCATCTGCTTAGAGGCCTCCCCTCTCCCCCGCAGCTGATTGATCTAAAAACCCCACTCCATTTCCCCTGCTTTTCAGATCTTGGGGCTGCTTCTCCTTTTCCCATCCCTACATATTCCCATATTCAAACTGCCAAGCACTACAACCTCAGGTCTGAAATGCCTTCTTTCCCCAGTTTTTCCCCTCTAGATCCTTAGGTTTATAATTTCTCCCGTTTCCCCTCTCACTGGATCCAGCTGTCTAAAATGGCTTCTCCTCTCCCTTCCCTCCCTGCAGACCTCACGGTATACACACCTGCTTTCCCCCTCTCTCTTTGGGCCCCAATGTCTAAAACCATTTCCCCTACTTTGTCCCTCTAGATCCTGTGGTCTAAAACTTCCACCTCTTCTCTCTCCCGTCCTATGCTGTGGTCTTAAAAACTCCTTCTCCCTCTTCTGTCCACTCAGATCCTGGGGTCTAGAACTCTTCCTGTGTCCACCCTTCCTAGCCTCGCCTTGGCTTGCTTTTTGTTGTACATGTGTTTTTTTAATATGTCATGAAGAAATTATATCTCTGTTTGGGGAAACCACTGTGATGACGAGAGGATTATATAAACCTGGTCACAGGCCCTGGCCAACAGAAAGAAGGAAGGAAGAATTATGAAGGAGCTATTGCTGTCTGTGTACTGATAATATAAAAGCCACTTGAAGCAGAGAACTGGGCCTTGCTATCTTTTTTTAAAGATTGTTTTAATTACATGAACTAATTTTCTAAAGAAGCTGAGAAATTAAAGCTCTTTCACACTCTGCTGTGTGCATTAACATGACTTCCTGGGCTTGGTTTAGAAAAGCACTCCCTCCTCCAAGTTCTGCACTGAATACAGACTCAGGGACAAACAGCCAAGCACCCTGGTAAAGAACAAGTTTCCCAGTAATGATCAGGGGGTGTGGGTTTTTGGGGGGGTAGGTGGCGGGGGAGAATATGTTTCGATATGACAATGGACTCAAAATACCCCCAACTCTTGAGCTAGGACTTATTTGAAGTTCAAATAATGTGGTTAGCCACACTGTCATATGGTTCTGCACTTCCGGATCTGGGCCTCACCAGCCTCCATAAGAAAAAATACTAGCATTTTCTAGCAAGGAATCAAAACCCAGCAGTATCACTTCTGTAAAACGAGACATTCTGAGCAGTTCCTGTAGGATGCTAGAGTATTTTATCTTCATAGTCACATAACACTAGGATGTGGAACAAATTATTGAGAAAGTGCTTATTTTATCAACAAGGGTTAACCTGATGCAAGCACAAAAGTATTCCATGCTCTGACATGGTAAATTATCAGATGGCGACAGCCAATCAACATTTCAGATTTATCTGAATTTCCTGGCTTTGATCTTTCCAGCAACATGGTTTCTGGGGAGAATTCCAAAGAAAAAACGGGCTACCACAAAAGGAAGAAAAACTCCTGCCTACTCCCTCCTATCCAAACTCTGTTCCAAACCTTCCCCCTCAGTTCTGTTCTAGTTGCAGATAATCTTAATAATCTCTCCCTGAACAACATACAGCTATCCTGCCTGCTTGAAATCTCAGTTCACCCATTAAACCCTTCCTAAATCTTCAAACAAAGCCCAGACACCTCTCCAATTACCCAAAGCCCTTCCAGTTGCCTATAAAGACTGCTCTTTGCCGACCAGTGCCCCCTGTGATCTACGCTCAGCACTACTTAGAGGGACACCTTGTAGGGAGACATACTTATTGGGATGCAGGAGGAGGAGGGAAAAAAACCAGGTAGCTCAGCATCATTGTTTAACTGGGGTTTGAATGGGTCACTGAATCCTTCTGCTACAGTGTCTACTTGTCTTTAGGGCATGTAATGCTGTCACTTTAAGAGATGCATGGACCCCTTGCAATTTTGTGTTAAAAGTAGGGCTGGCAAGCAATTAAAAAAATTAATAGCGTGATTAATTTGCATTGTTAAATAATAATAGAATATAACTTATTTAAATATTTTGGATGTTTTGTATATTTTCAAATATATTGATTTCAATTACAACACAGAATACAAAGTGTACAGTGCTCACTTTATATTTATTTTTGATTACAAGTATTTGCACTGTAAAAGACCCCAAAAGAAATAGTATTTTTCAATTCACCTAATACAAGTACTATCATGCATCTCTTTATCATGAAAGTTGAACTTACAAATGTAGAATTAGGTACAAAAAAACTGCATTAAAAAATAAAACAATGTAAAATTTTAGAGCCTGCAAGTCCACTCAGTCCTACCGCAGCCAATCGCTCAGACAAACAAGTTTGTTTATATTTGCAGAAGATAACGCTGCCTGCTTCTTGTTTACAATGTCACCTGAAAGTGAGAACAGGCATTCTCATGGCACTGTTGTAGCCGGTGCCGCAAGATATTTACATGCCAGATGTGCTAAAGATTGATATGTCCCTTCATGCTTCAACCACCATTCCAGAGCATATTCATCCATGCTGATGGCAGGTTCTGCTCGATAACGATCCAAAGCAGAGTGGACTGACGCATGTTCATTTTCATTATCTGAGTCAGATGCCTTGCAATGTCGGCTTCAAAGGTGCCACGCAAATGCTTGTTCTCACTTTCTGGTGACATTGTAAATAAGAAGAGGGCAGCATTATCTCCTGTAAATGTAAACACACTTGTTTGTCCTAGCGATTGGCTGAACAAGGAGTAGGACTGAGGGGACTTGCAGGCTCTGAAGTTCTACATTGTTTTGTTTTTGAGTGCAGTTAAGTAACAAAAAAAAATATCTACATTTGTAAGTTACACTTTCATGACAGAGATTTCACTACAGTACTTGTATGAGGTGAACTGAAAAATACTATTTCTTTTGTTTATCATTTTTACAGTGAAAATATTTGTAATAATAAATAATGTACACTTTGATTTCAATTACAACACAGAATAAAATATATATGAAAATGTAGAAAAGCATCCAAAATATGTAATAAATTTCCACTGGTATTCTATTGTTTAACAGCGCGATTTAAAACTGCGATTAATCGCAATTCATTTTTTGAGTTAATCGCACGAGTTAACTGCGATTAGTCAACAGCCCGAGATAAAAGACAGTGTTTCGATAAAAATTAGACTGTCAGCTTCTCCGGATAGGAGCATTTTACAGCCTCCACAGCACTGTAGCAATGCCACCGCAGCGCCAGTGACTACATAGTTCCTGAAACTGGAATGATAGTTTTCTGTCAGATGGGAAAGAGTGATGTGGGTTTGAATATACTCTATACTCTTTCCTCTGCCTTTCCCACACTGCTCTGGAAAGTGATTTGAAGTTACACCAGAGTTCAAGCAGAATCAGAATGCAAATTTTTCTGGAATCAGAAGAAACTCACTTTCAATGTTTCCCATTGAAACAGTAAGCATTTTGCTTAAATATTAAACATCACAGTTCTTCTGATTATTAAACCAGCAGAACAATGAAGCCATGGACACAGAAGATCTGTGGTTCCATCCAGACATTTATTTTTCTTAAACAAAATCACTGTTGCCTCTAACAGTATAAAAAAAGCCAAAAGATGGAAGTCATGCAACTCATTTAGGGACTTCAGTTAGGCAAGCCAATATGTGGCATGAGAATGTGCCTTTTGTATATAGCGTGCTTGCTCCTTGTTTATTATTAGACTCACATTAGCTGTCTATGGAAACTGATACCTACTGGAGATGGGAGGGACTCAAAAACTGTAAGTTCAAAACACACATCAAACTTCGGGAGAGTTCAGAGATGGATTAGAGCTTTGTAGCTTGGTTCCAGCTCTAGGGCATACATCTATAACTGTATGTAAATGTGTACATGCCACAAAGAACATTAAGAAGACCAAATGTCAGAGATAGTAAGCTGGCTTTAAGGGCCACTTTCAGTTTTATTCACACTAAAACTTTACCTATGCTGTGTCCCATGTTGAAGCTCTCCCCCATTCATGTGCATTTATTTTCCCCTCATCTGGCTTCCCGTCTTTTTGTTTTTTTATATTGTCAGACGCTACAGCGAGCAGCTTGGGAAAAGAAATGTACTTGACCAGAGTCCCAGAAGGGCATAGCTTCACCATGGGATTCGTTGTAGGCTAATTTTTAGATGGAATAAAATTGACCATGCCCATTAAAGCTGATTAGATACCAGTTTACTATCTGTGGCATTAGGTCTTCTGCATTGATCGTGTGTCACAAACGGCATCCCTTTTCAGCAATGTGTCTATCTCCAGCAGGCACCTAGGAAACACTCACCCCTCCTTAGAAACTTTTGAAATTGTGACTGAGGGAGCATATATTGTATGTGAATAAGGGCTTCTCACTACCTGTGTTTGCAAATGGTTGCACTGAGCAGAATCGGTCCAGCTGCTGTGTATGCGGTTTTTCCCCACAGTGAGGGTTTGCACAAACTTCAAATTCTAGGTCTCAGTAAATGGGCTCAAGATAATACTTTTATTGAAAGTCACATGGGTTCCAGGTACTACTCTTCTCTTCCTTTAAAAATGACTAACGTTCCTGAAAGAGACATTAATTTCTTTCCCGACGCTGTCTGATAAAGCATGACACATACAGTAGATGCTAGAGAGCATCTTAACAGCGTTTTCTCCCCACTACTGTGTAAAATGAGAATACAAATAGAACACAACTTTTCCACATTCGCAGCATACAAATCACAGCATCTGGCAGCAGCAATTCAGATGGTTTTTAGGTTAATTTAAAGGGACATACGCTAAAAATATGGCCAACATTTTTAAACGTGTGCTTAAAATTAATCACCTACGGGTCAATTTACATAAGTGCTGAGTACCCACAACTCCTGTTGTAGACCACATGGTCTGTGGATGTTCAGCAGCCCTGGAAAACAGGCCCTAAGTCTCTATTTAGGCACCTAACTTTAGAAAATCAAGTTTGAATGTTACGTTTAATAAAACTATTGACCACATTTCCTAAACTGTGTTACTAATACTTGACAGATAATGGTTCTTAACCTCTCTTTCATAACAAGACTCCCCCGCCTCTCCCTCCAGGACTTTCCTTCTCTCTAGCTGGGAAACCTCACATTTAGCACTATGATAAATGCACAGGGCTGCAAACCCCCTGATTCTATTTGCCAGCTTCAGGGTGGGAACCCATGCTTTAGATTATTAAAATGTAAGAATTATTAAAATTCTTTCCATGCACATCTTGAAACATTTACCATAGACAGGAAGGACGGTCCAGTGGTTAGGGCCCTAGTCTAACACCCCAGAAACCTGGGTTCAATTCAGTGCTCCATCACACATCCTGCGTGACCTTGGGGATAACTGAGGCACAGAAAGGCTAATATGAGTTCCTTACCTCACAGCTGCATTGTGAGGATAAATACAATAAAGATTCTAAGTGTTCTGAGAAATGCAGGGAAGCTTGCACTGCAACTGCTGCAAAAGACAAGTTAAATCCAAAGAAAAAACTGTCTACCTTCAAAAGATTATTTGAAAACATTGCTATTAATATTAGGTTTCCCAAAAACCTCATTATCACAAGAACTAAAACTGGGCCATCATCAACCAGATAGTGTCTATTTAATTTCCTTCCCAGTGACAATGTGTTTTATCTGTTAGAGTTATTAGGAAAACACTAAGTGATTAGGGAATTCTGTGTGTGATTTTTCTTGAATGATCCATCAATTTTTATCTAGCAAGCGCCGGATATTTAAATCAACCTTGTACCTGTTAAATTGCTGCCCTTTGTCAAAAGCTCAAAGAGGGAACTCTGCTAATTAACAAGAAGGGGACAAAAAGAGAACGTGGCAGCTGCTTCCGAAGTGACAACACACAAAAATAAAGTCCAAGCCAGTCTGGGAAGTGGTAGAAAATCCTTTCCATATAAGGCAACTATATCCGAGAAAATATTGAAGAATTGAGCATAATATTTTTGTCCCTTTTTCTTGATGGAGGAAACACACAATCTATGTTTCTTAGGAACAACTCCCAGAAACAAACTGATTTCAGTCTACCTATCCCAAGTTTCACCAATGTGTAGAAGAAAAAGGACATGCATAATACAATACAAAATACAATACAATACTACAAGACACTCATTTCCCCCTTTTCATCTGATGCATGGACCATTATAGCAGTATCATAGTGCAGCTCTGGTACAATATGCAAAAGCTAATCTGTCTCTGTCACATTCACCTAGAAAGCTGCTCAGGAATCACTAGCTTTTGCTGCTTCTGCATCTGGGCCTTGATTACCTTGAACTTCCTTACAAAGGAGGTTTATTTAGGAGACCCAAGATGTGGAAAGGGGAACAAAAACGGCATCAGACATGGGACAATGCACTCATGCACAGACAAAGTATGACTAGGGTGACCATATTTCCCTATGTTGAACACGGGGCACCTGGTAAAACTGCTCATATTCAAGCGAGTTCAATGGCAATCAGTCAGAACTATGCAATACAAACGTCCACATTAACATCAGCTTGACTGAGCCCCTGTTAAAAAGAAATACTGCGTAGTTGGATTCTTTTTATTTACCTTCTTATCTTTAAGGCTTTAGGGTTCATACAGGGAGGGATGGCACACACACCCCTAGACCTCCCCACACATGGGGAGAGATGACACACACACACTCCCATATATCTCTCTCACACAGGAGGGGTGACCAACCGACCTGACCCTCTCTGCCGGGCACTCTCCGCCCTCCATGCCTGGCTGGGCCCCTGGAACAGACCCGTGTCTTCTGGTACCTGGCGCCCCACTTTCCCAAGGCAACACTGGGGGGCATGCAGCATCACATGCCCCCTCTCCCCAAATTTCTGCCAGGTTCACACCAGAATGTGGCCAGCAGCAGGCTTTCAGCACTGTGTGGGAGGGAAGGGGTGGGAGCTGCTTCCATGTGCAGGGGAGTGGGGTGGGAAGGGATGACCTGGCCTGTGTCTTTGCAGAGCTCATCTCTTCTTCTCCCTATCCCTGTAGTCTGGAAGCAGCTTGTCCCTTCCTGCCCACACAGTGTCAAAAGGCAGCTAATACCTCCAGGCTGCTGCTGGCCACCGACGTAACCCAGCTGCCTCCTGTCCCCTGGCTACAGCGCTGGCAGGAAGGGGTTAAGCCCTAAGAATGCATTGTGCACCAGGGCCCAGGGAACCTGACTGCAGGGTAGGGTTGCCAACCCTCCCGGATTGGCCTGAGCCCCCTCCTACACCCAAACTGCCTCCTAGAGCCTGCACTCCTAGAGCACGAACCCCTTCCCGCACACCTGCCCCAGGTCAGAACCCCCTCCCCACCCTAACTCCCTCCCAGAGCCTGCACCCCAACCCCCTGCCCCAGCCCTGAGCCCCCTCCTCAAACCCATCGGCCCCAGCCTGGAGACCCTCCTGCACTCCAAGCCCCTCATCCCCAGCCCCATCCCAGAGCCTGCACCCCTAGCCAGAGCTCTCACCCCCTCCTACACCCCAACGCCCTGCACCAGCCCAGTGAAAGTCATTGAGGGTGGGAGAGAGTGAGCAATGGAGGGGGGGGGAAGGAATAGAGTGAGCGGGGGAAGGGCAGGGGCATGGCCTCAGGGAGGGGGTGGGGCAGCAGGCAGGTCAAGGGTTATTGGGTTTGTGTGATTAAAAAGTGGGCAACCCTACTGTAGGGGCTTCAGCGAACCCACCCAGCCAGAGAGGTGGCTCAGCAGGGAAGGGTGCCTAGGGGACGGAGCAGCCCCACGCTCCCTGGGGGTAGGGCCCAGGGCGTGGGAGGGAGGTGAAGAGGCTGCTGTAGAGCCTGCAGATTCGCGGTGTGAACAGGCTGAAAATTGCTTTCCCCCCACCACTGCAGAGCTTAGCTGAGGGGCGGAGAGGCTTCCCTGTGCCAGCGCTGTGGGGGGGTTTGGCACATGCAGGGCTCGGCTCCTCGTGGCCAGAGCCCGGGCCAGAGTGTCTTGGGCTTTCCCAGGGAGCTGTCCCAGCCAGAGGCAGTGGGGGAAGGAACGAGCCTGCTGGCCAGGCTGTTGGTGAGCTGAGCGCTCCAACCAGGGGCTGGTTCTCCGCACAGTGCTGGGAGTGGGACATGCTCTGCCGAGGGCGGCATAGGTAGTGGTGGTGGTGGGGAGGCGGGGAATGGGATATGGAGAAGCAGCAGGGCTGGGGGGGCAAAGGGGCGAAGCAGGGAGAGGACAGCCAGATGGGAGCACATAAAGGGACGATGGGTGGGCAGCAGAGGCGACACATAACTGGCCGCCGTCTGACGCCTGCCGGCACTCACCAGCCACTGCAGCTCATAGCACACAGCCAGCCCCGGCTGGAAATGGGATGGGGGGGCGGAGCCCTGCTGGCCGAGAGCTGGTACGCAGCAAGGGCTGCGCTGACAGACCAGCCGGGGGACCAGCTGGCCCTGCGCACTGCATCTCTGCCCCTCCACCAGCCTCGCACACCCACCCACATCGTCGGCCACTGGACCCCGCCCCCCACTCACCGCTGGTGGGAGGGCGGCTGGCAAGCAAGGATCTGGCCAGCAGCAGGACCTGCCAGTACTGATGTGAGGGAGACAGAAAATACGGGACAACTTGTCCGTTTTCAAGAAGAAGTTGGGACACCTGCAGGAGGGCTTAAATATGGGACTGTCCTTTTAAAAACAGGATGTCTGGTCAGCCTAAGTAGAACATATTGAAATATGCTTAACTCCATTCCTCGGTATATCGGCAAGTATCTTTTACCTGCATATACACAGGAAATAATATACCTATCAACAACTAGCAAGAACACATTGCATTAGAAGAGGAAAGCAACTCAAAACCAGTATTGGTTTTCAGATTGAGAGAGAACCCATTAGCTTGGTTTTCACCCATGTATCGTTGCAGTGGGGTGAATGGTGCTCCCATGCTAAACATTACATTAAGTTTTTACTTATTAAAGATCAGAGGACACATTCCATGTTCCTAAACATAGCCGTGGGGATCGCTGCAACCCCTCCACTTAATTCTCACCCATACATGTATACAAGGTGATGATGCCAGCCTGTTTTCCACTGAAAGCATGATCACATCCTGTAATTTCCCTCCGTTTCCAGTGCATGTGTTGACTATCTGGTACTAACCAAAGGCAATGGTGGTAGTTTGTTATAATGAAACCTGTATGATGGAAGATTATAAACTTCCAGCATTGTCCTTCTTGATGCTTCTCCTCTCCATTTGTACTTCCCCAACAATTCTCCTGCCCTCAAAAGGCTCAGTCCTGATGAGTGCTGAGCACTTCCTCTGAGGTGTGGAGCACCCTTAACTCCCACCCATACAAAATCAGCAGCAGTGGGTTTTCAGCACCTCTGAAAATCAAACCTCTTCCTCTCCTTAACATCATCTCTGTAAAACCTTTCTTCTTCTTTGTAGCTTTCAACGGTCTCTCTCTCCTGCTTCTCCCTCTGTGAAGCATTTTGTATTACGTTACACTGTCCACGCTTGGGAGTTGAAGACTCACCATTATCAAATATGATGCCTGCTGTGAAGGAGAGCTCTGATTCATGTTCTGCTTTGCAGGCATACAAGGCTCTGGCTTTCCGGAATGGTGAGCTGTGAAAACAGAGAAAGAGAATGTATTCGACATAAAAAAAGAAAATCTCTATTAAAAATATAACACAATTTCTGTTCCCACTCTCTTGGGGAAATTTTTGAGGAAGATGCCAAATAGCAGGGCTCAGGGTGAAAAGGTTACCCAGGGTCAGGGAAGAAAAAATTCAAAATATTTCCAATACAGTCAAGCTCTCTCAGAGATATCACTTCCTCCAGAGTCCCATTTCACCATATTGGAAATTTCAGTGAGAGCAAAACTGAAGCATTGACGAACAGGGCATGTACAGAATTGCCCAACACACTGAGCAGCACTAAATCAGAGGTTACTGGAAGAGTTTCCTGTCCATTAAAGGGGAGAATTAAATAAGGACAGAGTAAGTTGGAAATATTTTGTGAGTCACTGAAAAGAAATGTCTAACTAAAAACCTAGTTCCTACTTGGGGCAGACAGGCAGGCAGCATTAGTAGTCACTTACTGACACTGTAAATCAGTCAGGGCAGTTTGTTTTTAACATTTACCCAAAAAATATTTTATAGTTCATTTCTAGCTGTATCTACAGTGTTCTAGTTCCTGGAAACAACTCTGCACCCACAGATGAGCACTTCAGAAACAGAACAATAAGTAGCTTTTATTAATAATTTGTTGCTCTTTTTCAGAACCCACCACCTGTGGGTCTCAAAACCCTTTACAAACATTAAACTTAAAAAACTTTCTCTGTATTACCTCCACTTTGCAGTGGGGTAAACTGTAATGTAATGTAAAGTCCATTTATTCATGTCTGAATACTGGTGACCTCATAACAGAATTTTCAGAAGCATTCTTAATTCATGGCTAACTTTGCACACTCAGCAGATGACCTTCCCATGACCTGCCGCACGCCGTCTATTGATCTCCTCACTGGTCGTTCCCTACTATGACGACCTGCCACCATTCCATCCATGATAGCTTTCTCAAGGTTATTTTCATCTCTATGCCTGAAGTGACCTAAGTACGTAAGTTAATTTCCAGACAACAGGTCTGCTTTTCTCCAACATTTAATCTTTGCCATGCAGGAAGTATGTAAAAATCTTCATCAGGATGGCATCTCAGAGGCTTTAATTTTCCTCTTATCAGCAGCAATTGTTTCTCAGAAGTCATATCCATAAGTTGCTATGGAAACAAATAAGCTTTTCACCAGTTGAACCTCCAGGGGAAACTGAGGCAGAAAGCATTTGCATCCAAAAGCCAACCAGCAATTCCCTAGTAAAGCAGGGAACAGAATGCAGGAGTCTCTGGCTCTTGCTTCCATCAGCAGACCACAACATAAACTGAGTTATCTCAGATTTCTAGTCAGGTGGGGAAGACTGATCAGTAGGAAATAGGACAAACTAGGATCTATTGTTGTATTTTAAGCAGACTAGAGTATATTTTATGTAGCGTACTTTGCAGTTTTGGAAATAAGGAAACTGGGAGATCCCTCCCACTTCAGTGAGACAATCAGATAGGAAGCTGCATGCTGACATTGCCTCAGATGGAAAACCCACCAGAAAAATGGAAGCCTCCTTCCTGAAAAGCCCTGGAAGGCAGAAAGCTTGTAACGTTGGTTTGGCTATATGCGTCAGCCTTGGAAATGGAATGTTTGTGACCTGTCCCGTTCCTTACTGGGACTCTCAGTCCAAGATATTTGAGCTGTGCCTCATACAGATACCAGAGGCATCACAGACTTGCCAAGGAGACGTCAAGATTTTGGCTCTCACGCCAATCAACTGCTTCCAAAGCAGTATGAAAACTCTGAACTGATATCAGTAGATTCAAACAACAATGCCTTATTGAACTGAGTTCAGTGCTCTTTTTATGAGCATTACTTTAAATGCCTACATCGCTTTGGCATTTAGACTTGAACTTCTTGTCATCCCCTGCCCCCCCCCCCCCCGGCCTCCAGTCCCCAGGGGATTTATTTACATTGCCTGAACAGATCAGGATGTATTCCTACCTCAGTTGATCATGGAAGCCATGAAGACCCAACCTGACTGCTCTTCTCTTTGGGAAGTTGATGCTCTGTGGCTTCCCTGACCTTGACAATGTTCTCGATACATATAGTGTAACCTGAAAGCCAGGGCTCTGTGGTCAGCACTTGGGGAGTCTGGACTGCGGCGGGAGGGTCCTTCATTTTCTTGGGCTTCCTCTTGCCACTGAAAGACTGAACCACTCCAAACAGAATTGTCACTTGCCTTTTCATTATGTTTCATCACATGTTGAAAATAGTTCCAGCTCCCTCAAAGGGAAAACTGAGGCAGGGTGCATAGTGCCATGGTGGGCCACAAGAGGGTGCTGTGGAAGCCAATCTGATACAGTCTTCAAGGTCACTTCCTGCAAGATTCCTGATGATGAGGCCCTCACATTTGTATCATCTAATAAATATGAGTCATTGTACTACTCCTGGCTATTATCACGATCAATGCCTTTATGAACACTCTGGGAACCCAGAACAGACTTAAGGGTTACTTTTCCTGTAGATAGTGGCAATTTCCATAGGTGAACTTGATTTGGACAATTAATTGACCTTTAAATATTCGTGGTAAATAGGCCCAATGGCCTGTGATGGGATGTTAGATGGGGTAGGATCTGAGTTACTACAGAGAATTCTTCCCTGGGTATCTGGCTGGTGAATCTTGCCCATATGCTCAGAGTTCAGCTGATCGCCATATTTGGGGTCGGGAAGTAATTTTCCTCCAGGTGGGCCTGACCCACTACTTTGTTTGTATCTGAAGTGTGGAGGGCGAGCGATAGGGCATGGCCAAACCCTGGAGGCTCATGCACAAGTCTGAATAGTCTCCACTGTTTTGTCTTACTTTTACCAGCAGAGCAGTGGTTTGTAGCAAGGGGAAGAAAGTGTGTTAACCTGACATAAGTGATTGGAAAGCAAGATAAGTGGATAGCACGAAATCCTGAAAAATGCATAGGCAACCATGTAAATATAATCTCTCTCCATCAGTACCATTAGGACAGGACTTCTGATCTGTCATGCAAGGACTAATTGTAATCTGTAATCTAAACGTGGAATATTTGGAAGTTCAAATGCAGCTAATCTAATTCCTCACAGGGCAAACAGACTTTCTTTGAAACAACAAATCTTTTACATGAGCATTTTTAAAAAAAATAGGTCACTTTCCTTTCCAGGAGCTCGTTCATCAAAAAAAAAAGCCTTTTCTGTTAGTACCATTTTCATTCAATATAAATAGGAAACCAAAACAAGTTTACTAACATCCCAAAGAACCCCTTGCTCCTTCACCTAACAACAAATAAAGAGCAGTAAGAAGTAGGGTTTATTTCTCTCATGAGGGTTCATAATCATCTCTCCCACCACAACATTCTGAGGTTTGCTTTGGGATTTTGAGTTTTTTCGAAGCAAATCTTGGTTGAACCGGTCTGTTTTCTCCAGCTTCTGACTTGAAACAATCAGATGGCCCAAATTTGCTCAAATTGGTCATGGATTCACCCAGACGTTTTGCAAGCCTCTTCAGTAAACCTGGTGTGACAAGGCACCTTCTCGGTCTCACCAGCCTCCGTTGCTTTTAGCCTTGGTGAGACGGGCTTGGGTAAAACAGTCCCCCTTGGCTGCACAGGGACAGTCCGTTCCTTCTCTCCACCAGTCTTTTGGGCTTGTTTTTCTCCCTAATGGGAGGGAATGCAGCCTTCCCTCCTGGTGAAGCTTGCTGTCTCGCTGCTCCTAACCTACTGACAGCATGACTCCTTCTCTCTCTCTCCCAACAGGGGAGGGTTTAAAAAGGTCTCAGGCAGCAGTTAGTTGGAATCAGCTGATCCTAACTGACCTCAGGTAACTCCCTCTCAGCTGATCCTAATTGATTTTCTGGCAATCCCTTCTCAGCTGAACCTGATTGACCTGTAGTTATCCTTCCAAAGTTGATAGGGGGGAGGAGGGCCTTTTAACCTTCTGGGACTGTTTTCTACCCCACCCTTGCAGCTGTCTGTCCTGAGTTTACCACACTGGTCAAATTCATAACAAAACCTCAGACCGGGGAAGTTCATGTGGCTTTGTGATTTCATGGACACGCTTTGGCACAGCTCCAAAGATGACATGTTTCCAAGTTTTCCCATCCAGTCCAATTGGCTGTCAAGGGTGGGGAGTGGCACTGTTAGACAAACACAAACTAAAGGGGTTACATCTCTACCATTCAGGAGCCAAGTAGGACTCACTCAGCATGCAAAGCTTTGTGGAGATCATAGAATTAAAACAAAGGAATTTTCTAGACAACTGCCCTGAATTATTTAAGCTGTTGCTATTCTTGTAAATAAACTCCACTGCTTGGTCCCCTTTAGGCCTTCAACCACTTTTTTTTGTCCTCACAGCAACCTCAGTGCAAGTTGCTACTATCAGGACTGTGCCATTTCTGCTGCTGATGTGCCCGTCAAGGAGATAAAAAAAGCTTAGATCCTTCTGATCACTCATTTTTAATTTCTGCCTCCAAGCATGGCATAGGGCCAGGAAAGCACTCAGTGGAGTTTTCCCAATGTGCCCTTGTACAATTTATAGAACGAGGGAGTCGTCCTCTCAGAAGAGTTAGACAGGAGTTAAATGTGGCATTTGTAAGTTGTGGGTGAGGTAGTTTTCAATTTTGTCATATAAGGAGCAGGACCCAGGTTCTGCCTCTCTTCCTGCTGCTCTGCAACATTTATGCATTAATGAATACTAATTAAAGGACAGGAAAAAAGCAAAGATAATTCCACTTAGGCTGGTCTTAAAGGAATTAATATGTTTTTTATTGCATTTTTTATGATCCACTTGAAGAGAAGGGGCCTGTTCAGAGGGCAGCTTTCTGGAGGTCAGACTAAAAATCATCAGAGGATGGTTATTGCCACCTCTGGGTTATATACTGCAGCAGTGCAGTTGCCAGAGATGGGCTGGGGCGCTGCCTACTAATGAGTGTTAGATATTAAGGCATCAATACTACCCTACAGTCCAGCACAGCAAACCAGCTGGGAAGCCTGGTTAACCGAATCACCTTGAATAAACTAGGACAGGGAGAGTAGGCAGGGAAAAGGGGGTGTGGAACAGGTGACAGATCTGTAAGACAAACTGACAGCTTCTAGCTCCCATACCAATCATAAGGGGGACAAATATATCAATGATGTTGTATCCAATTTCATTTCTTTTACAAGGTGAATAGTCTTTGCATTCCCCCACATCCCATAATATGATACATATTCAGTACAAAGGTTTATGTTGAAGAGAGGCACATTCCTGCCATACAGTGCATGTTTCTTCAATGCAAGTTAAACTAATCACAGCAGCCAGTTAGAATACTCCAAGTTCTCAGGGCTGGCACGGCGCAAAACAAGAATGCTCTAGGAAAATGAGTATTTTCGCAGTTGAGACCATGCAGCAGTTTCCAGGACTTAGATGCACCATGATGCTGGGCACTTTAGGAATAACCTAGGTAGAGCATTATATAATACCATATTCTTCCACCTCAAAGGGTAAGATTTTTAAACCTTCCTTTAGGGGGTGTCCCCAACTTCCAGGAGCAATTTATTTCATGTGACATCTAACTACCTGAGATGCAGACACAATAAGACAGTATGTCTATATTACATAGTTCCATTCAGTAAAACTGCAGGTGTGAAAAGGGAGATTGGGCTGGGGGAAAAAAAAATCAAGGCCCATAGTATTTAACAATTCTTAGTTATGCCGTGCAACACTCTTGTGAGGTTAGTACATTTCTTACCTGTTGTAGAAATGGTAAAATGAGGTTCAGGTAAGTTAAGGGTCTTGGCAAAAGTCACACAGCAAGACAACTGTAGCAGTGGGAATAAGACTTAGGGGTCATGATTCCTAGTTGCCTGCTCTGATCACTGAGAAATTCTCCCCATGGTCTGCACCACTGTTGGGATGAGAGGAACACCTGATAGATAATTAACTGCTGTTAGGTCATCTCAAACCATGCCTCTTGGATCATGGGACGTTTGGACGTTTCCTCTCTTGCTGCATGAAGGTAGCTGAAGACCAATGAAAGCTGGTAACTAAAATAACAAGCTAGACACCAAAGCTGGACTGCACTGGGGGAACTTGAACAAGACACACAGAAAAAAATAAAAATAAAAATATAATTGCAGAAGCAGCAACAGAAAACCAGAACAAACTCTGCAACAGACCTGATGGGGGATGAGTCGCTGGACGTAGAGGAGGTGGGCATAGGACTTGATGGCGCAGAGAACATGGGCCAGGACGGTGAAAGGGGTGATGTTGGGCTTGGATTCTGAGGGCTGCAAGACAGAATCAGATAACTTATCAACACACAACTATCACAAACAAACAAAACAGAGAAAGAGGTTTCAACGACATCCAATGAGAGTAGGTGCCTGGGGAATATTCACAGCATGAAACAAAGCTACAAAATGGAACACTGAGACCTTAGGAAACAGTTTCAAGGCCAGATCTGCATTTTTTTAGACAAAAAGGGTTGGACCTTGCAATTAATCCCTGCTCTATTATTCTTTTGCTGGCAAGCTAGCTGCTTTGTTGTACAGAACGACTACATTCTAGGTTACAGAGGTCATCTCACTGCACACAGCGGCTTTCTTTCCCCAGCTACTTACCTGCTTTGTTTTATCTCCCCCATTGTTGCGAGATTGTTGATCATATTTCTGGACATTAATGATGTCTGTAACCAGCCTTTCATTCCTCTTTTTAATTTTGGTGGTTGAGGTGTGCAAGTATGAAAGGCTATTCTCTGGGCTGCAATCCACAGTGCCCAAAAACAATTTCCTGTTTATATTTTTAACTAAATGGGCCTAACGCACTGGAAGCCTAGAGGAGTTCATTATCTGAAGGATGGCAGGGAAGTTCTTTCACTCTAGTAGCTGTCTGAAGAACATTAATAAGGAAAAACCTCCAATAAATATGCCCCAAATCATGTAGCTTAGGTACCTACTATGAAAAAAGAAAGACCCTTCACTCCAACATGGACATGCCCACAACAGAACACATATTCCACATGCTCTCTGTGACTAACTCAGCTTGCTGACATGGACTCTTTCTCTGTTCTGAGAATGAATGAAAACCAAGTTTTAAGTATAACTTATTTTGTGAAATCAGCAAAAGGCTATTGAGGAAAGCATCAATGCCCTATCTAATGGGATTTCTGCCAGTGTAGGTAGAGGACCTATTACTCATAGTTGGCAGCTAAACACAACTGGTCTATAGCTGTCAAACTTATAAATGATCAGCAAGCCTCAGTTGGGACTCCAGCATGAACCAAGCTATCACGATGCAACTGGTTTCTGGGTGATGTAAATGGTTGATATGCATATAATAGAGTCTGCTCATTATTTTTGCAGTGCTTGCTTTGATTCTTTTCCTCTTCTACTGTAACTTTTCCATTGCTTTTTTAATTGGCTTGCTTTAAACTTCACTCTTTTCCTCCTCTGTATAAGAGTAATCAACTCAGTTAGCTCTGGAAGTTATTAGATACTTTATTAGATACAGTACTTTTCCTTGAAGTATTAGTGTTGTAACACAGAATAAAGTGGAATCACCTTACAGCAAATTCTGAGATAGTGAAACTCCTCTTATAGAAAAGTGGAGTAAAACTCCCTTAACTGTGCCTTTCAGGGGATCTAAGTATAAATGTAACAATTGCACTAAAAGAATGTGCACCATTTGAAGTCTCAATAATCTTCTAGCCTTCCAGTGTGTTTGGTGTCTGAACCATATTGTCTGTCTAATTTAGATTGTAATCCATGTTTGGTACAACACTGAGAACGCTACTGGCCCTCAACAAGCAGTACACAAAAATACCAAGGTGGGTTACTTTGTAAAGATTGGTTTTATGCTTCAGCCCCCTGTGAGGAATCAAGTTCCTTGTTCCATTGGTCCTTGATACGAAGTGCGGGCTGCAAGCTAGAGAGGGTGCAGCCACTGACTTATAGGCAGCCACCAGTACTGTAGACACAGTACTTAAAGGGAAGTGGAGTAGAGGATTCAATGCTAAAATAACATGGCTGATGAGTCTTAAGAGATTAAATTTGTGTTTGAGGGAGAAAATGGCAAAATGGATCTGTCTCTTATGTTAAGAGACTCCCAGAGGTTGTTACTAAGCCTGTTTCCCCCTACTTTGGATTGCTAAAAAGGTGCACTGGATGAAGTTAGTAAGTTGTTCTGTTCTTTTGAGAATGGCCCAAAGGAGCTGAAAATCAATCCCTTCTGAGCGGTTAAGAAAGAGGGGGCTGGACAACAGAGAAGAGTATGGTCAGGTCCTTCTCAAATGCCAGGCCATGTGTATACTGCATTCTAGGAAACAGCATGGGCACATGAAACATGTCTTCTGGCTCCTTCTAACCAAAGTTTCCTTACATTATTACATGAAGTGTGTTAGGGGCAACATCTGTGGTTTTTAAACATCACAATCAAAAGTTTTTTTTAAAAGAACAAAGACAAGGAAAAATCTTCTGAAAATAATAACCTTATGCTAGACTCCAGCTCATGGTTTCTGTTTCTTATCGTAGGATTTGGACTGGCCCAAACTCTCGAATATTTTGTTAGAGTGAGAGAGAAAAGTCAATAGGAGACAAGACGTTTATTCCGTTTCAGGTTATGTTTCAAATGCCAACCTCCTATCACAAACAAATCAGCAACTTCGGCGATAGGTTAAAGGATACTGTTGAGTAATTTTTGGTGCCTTTTCTTTCCTTTGTTTGAATTAATCTTTTAGTAGCTTGAAAATAAAAAGTAACTCCCTGCAGATCATGCTCTTCCCCCACCTGTGCAGCCTTCATTCCTTCCCCGAGTTCATGGACAAGCCAATATCCACTGTCAATGTTCTGAGGTTCTTACGGTTTGTTTCTCACACTTTTAACTCTGCCCCTCAACATTCCACCCTCTGCTCTGCCTCCAACCACTTCACCTGGCTGCCTTGCTACCAGACATTCTGCAGCTTCACAACAAGTTACAGGAAATCTTATATTCTATGAAAGGCCTTTTATTTACCAGTGAGTCTTTAGTAGTTACAATACCTAGTGAAGAGAGTTCATTGCAGGACTTGGGATATTTAGGAATGTATAATTAAAAGCATTTCCCTCTATATGGTGTACTGGGCCTATACACTTTTTTTGAGATTAAACTCATTTTGAAACAATGTAATTCTCATTAATCTTAAAGACAGCTGCGTCACCACTATGTATTTCCACATTAGCCATTTAGTCCACTGCACTAATGACAATATAAAATATAATCAATAAGGTTCTCAGAAAAGAGAATTATTTCTATTTGGTTATTTTATTTTAAAAAACTTATAGTAAGGAGCACATCTCTCAAACTAACCTTTGTCTAGGAAGCTGTTACAGTAAGCTGTTTGGGCCAGGGACTGGCTTTACTGTGGGTCTTGGATAGCACAGAAAACACTGTTGGTGCCTATCAAACCGATCAATGAAAATAATAATTAATGAAGATATGCATTATATTAAATGAAAAATGATCCCATTTCAATTGAGTTACACAACTCTCTTCAAGTGGAGTTGCATCAGGGTTGATTTGGTCCAAGCTGACCAAGCTATTCTCTGCTCAGTCTTATAAGTAATTTTGTAAGAATCTTTACAGGAAACCTCTTCATGAAGTAGAGATTGTGTTTTTAGGATTGTAGAATGTGCCATCTTATGTTCATGCCTACCAGCTCTGTGATCAACACACAAGTTAATGGCCTCCTCCCTATCAATATGCTTTTATTTATTTTTTCCTTTTAAAACCTACTCTAATATACTGCTTGAATATTGTCCAACTGTTCCAGTTATGCAGCCACAGAGCCTATGCTTTCCCTATGTCTCTTTGGCAAGCAAGGGTAGTTGAATAAACAAACACTATTCTGGGATCTCTTTGTATCTTGGAAAGCAGTTATTTTTGTATGGACTGATTTCCTTTCTTTCTCTTTCACAGGAATCTCAGAGGAGGCAGTGTGGCTTTTGAAAATACCAATTGCTGTCTGAATTCAACTGTACATTTTAACTGTATATACAAAAGTAACATTCCATCTGACGTTATTTATTTATTTACCCTTGTGCAGCTTGCAGGCAGCACTTCTGGTTTTGTGCATAGTGGGAAATAAAACAGAAAAAAGAATTGCTAGGAACCCAAAATATCAAAACCCGGAAACAAAAATCTGACTCCAGAGGCTGAAATTAGAATCTCTAAATCAGGATATTAACTTTTCACAAATAGCTGCAGGAGAAGGAATTCCGTGAGTTGGCAGCCCAAAATATTCCACTGCTTTAGAGCTTTCTTTCATGTTCATTCCATGCCTTCTACTTGAGCAAACGTTGAAGAATGCGAATAGCAACAGTGACATGCAACTGTGGAAATCCATGGAATAATAACAGTATATGCACTGGCAATGGTATTTTCAAAGGAGCATGAAGGATTTTGGCACCCACTGACTTTCAGTGAGCACTCTGTATCAAAATTCGATAAGCCCCTTTGAAAATTCCACACTGCAACCAAAAAGGTATCATTAGAAATGAATAAAATTGTAGCAGAAGGATTTTCATCCCAAATGTCCCTTCTTTATTCCCATGTCTGCTGTACATCTTATTATCTTCCCATTCTTGTGTTTAATTGCAGCCTTAACTTGTAAAAAGCCCTAGTTTTATTTCCAGATTTTGATCTCATTTCCAGTTGCTGCATCTAAAGTCTCTAACCACTGCCCCCATCCATATCCTGTCTCTCTCTTCCTCCCCATACCCTGCCAGTCTACCTACTAGTCTCTCTGACATTTACGTGACACAGCTCAAAGCTTGCAGCCATTTACTGGTCTAAATAATTATCCCCAGCATGGTTTCAAGACAAATTTCACCGCTTTATTCATTTGGCTCACAGGATAACATCAGTTCTTCTGAAAGAAGCTTTTCAAATGATTTTCTAGGGAACTCAGGATTCAAATAATTGTTTCCAGCATAAAAATAGCTTACATGTGAACGGGAATGGTCTATCAATAAATGGAAATCGCCCATCAATGAATCAGCTCTATAATATACTGAGTATCCCCATGCTGTGTTCTCTATCAATACTGGACTGTATATAAAAAAAATCAATGTTATCACCATTCCATTCTTACAAAACAAAGCTGCTAAGCTTCAGGCTCTCTCAATGCAACAGCCAGAGGGTAGCTGTTGCACAATTTAGCTAATGCAAGGGTATTCAAACTTTGTCAACAGAGGGCCACGTTAGCAAATTTCTGAAGGACAAAGCTACTCTGCATAAATAAAATGGACCTCAG